GCATTTTATTTTCCCCTAAATTCTGTGTTTTCCATTTGATTTCTTATGGATTCCGTGTTTTATGATTCAGTACAAATTTATCATAAAAAATGGTGTCTAGTGAAGTGAATTAATAAAACTTTAACATTACATACATTTAAAATGTAATCAAATGAAAATCAATTTACAAAAAAAACATTGCATTTTTATTTTTTTATTTTATTTTATCAGACATGATGCTGCACAACAGAACTGTATAAATTAATAATAATAAAAATAACTTGGTTGTATGATATTCCTTAAAAATAATAATAATATTATTACTTTGAGAATTGCATTGTAGTATACAGTAGTAATATATTCAGTCATATAATTTCAAGTTAAACCGGACTTTTATTTTGACGGTTTGTCGTGAAGGTCTTTCAGTTTTAGTTTTAGTTTCAATTTCTGTTGTGATTAATCCATATTGAGTAAAAATGTCGAGAGCTCATCATCATTAACATGAATTTGATCATAATCTCGATATGATATCATTTATCGCCCAATGCTAATTTAGGCTATTTAACGTGCTTGGCGGGCGACTCAGAGACTCTATGCGGGCTACCAGGTGCCCACGGGCACCATGTTGGTGACCACTGTGTTAGACATTTTATTGAGAAGTGGCGCGAGCCACGTGTGTTTGAGTTTGTGTATCAGATGAAAACTACTCCACGCATTCACACAGACACACAGAAGATGCAGACTTATTAGCGACATGCACTGACTGGTTGCTGTAACATTTATTTCTGTTGTGATTAATCCATATTGAGTAAAAATGTCGAGAGCTCATCATCATTAACATGAATTTGATCATAATCTCGATATGATATCATTTATCGCCCAATGCTAATTTAGGCTATTTAACGTGCTTGGCGGGCGACTCAGAGACTCTATGCGGGCTACCAGGTGCCCACGGGCACCATGTTGGTGACCACTGCTTTAGTCCATACAGAACAAACCCTTAATCTCAAAATAAATCATCTCCGATTCTTTGACTTTAATTAAACAGACCATGGCACATATTCAACGAGGACTTAAAGGGGTCATATGATGCTATTTTAAAGATCATTATTTTGTGTATTTGGTGTAACAGAATATGTTGACATGCTTTAATGTTCAAAAAACACATTATTTTTCAAATACTGTACATTATTGTAGGTCCTCTATGTCCCGCCTCTCTCAAACGCTTCGTTTTCAACAAAGTCCCTCCTGTGACAAGCGCAGTCTGCTCTGATTGGCCAGCTGACCCAGTGCATTGTGATTGGCCGAACACCACAAGCCACATATTAAAATATGTGACGATTCATATCGATTGAGATGCGAAACAAATCGCGATTCAATTAGGGGTAGGAGTTTATATGAATGTACAGTATGTCTGAGGGGAACTTACTGTCTTTAGAAAAGTTTAGATGGTGTTTTTTTTCTTTTCATCTTGCCTCTGTATAATGCATATTAAAGTTCATAAGGAGAAAGGAAAACTTGAAATCGCATCATATGACCCCTTTAATACGGTTTATTAGAAAAAATATATATACTGTATATACATACATATGTACTGAAATTGGTATGTACTAATATATGAATACATACAAATATGGTCTACCCATATTGGGAGTTTGCTGATACAAAAATAATCAGATTAAAGAAAGTTAATAGATTGTGCTGTTACTAGTAAAATATATGTACTGACCCTTTTTTTATTCTTTCCTTTGCTTTTAATGGTCTGGTGGTGTTCAGTCATTCTGAATTTTTTATTTTTTTTTTTACTTCAGAATGGTATGAAAAAAAAATTTAATCTTACTGAAAGCTCATTTTTATATATTGTTTAGATTTATGGCTTTGATTTTCTCGCAGCTTCAGAGTAAAACATATTTTGGAAAATATAAATTTCATATAAAATTACAAAAAAAAAAAAAAGTTTTGTGTATTTTTAAACTTTTTACATTTTTTGTAATAAGTGTCAAGTGCCAAGTGTCTTCTTTAAAAAGATATTAAATATAAGTCTGTGTTCCAAAGCATTAAAGGTTTGTGACAATTTAAGTTGGAAACTTAATTTTCAGGTCTATGATGAAAAAGTGCTTAACAGGTAATAAATGCATCATAACTATTCTATAAATATAATTTAGTACCATAAAATCCCTTAAAAATACCCAGAGGATTAATTATAAACAATCCCTAAATGCACCAGGACTCTTATTTTGAAAAGCTTTCGCTGTACTACTCCAAGCTGCTCAGTTAAAAAAAAATTTTTTTAAACCATCTACTACAGACTACAATATAAACACCACAAAGTACATACTGTCTAAGTTCATCAACAATACATAAAAAGCTATCCATTTGGCATAAATGGACTGTATTCACTGACTGTAAAGTGCTCTGAAACGCAGAGTAGTGCTATGCAACACTTACATTTATTGAATGAAATCACATCCTTTTGAAGTTTAATAGTAGCTCTTAAAATCATAATGAAGTCTTTTGTTATACCATTTAAATGCCATTCAAAATGGATAAAACAGTCTTTAAACTCTTTTCAGAAACCGCCGGGACCCGGACAAAGCATTAACATCTAAAAATGGACATAGATGTTCCTCATGATGAATTCTAGAGGAGAAGCATTATGTGTGACTCAGAAGTGTAAAGAATATGAGTCGTCCGTAAGTGTGAACGATTGTCTGTCAGGTGGCAGATCAGCCAAAAATGAGGCAGAGAGTACAATAGCTGGGACACTGTTGAAGAAATGCATAACACAAGAAACTAGTTACTAGCTAAGGTTGAGTTTTCATTAACCATGCACTTCATGTTTGCAGAGACAGTATACAGTGCAGCTCCGTTCACACTGACAGCCGCTGGAGGATGCTGGAAAACTCATTAAAAACAAACGACTTCTGGTCAATTTAAATTGTAGTTGTAAAACGCTGTTTGCTGTCGAAGAACTGCTTTGCTAAAGAACACACGCGCCCATTAGCTGAACCAAAAATACTAAACTAACCCCATTCAAGCAGATACAAGCTATTCATGCATGACTAGAAAATAAACGTCCACAGGCTTCACCAAGACCGCTATGAACTGATTCGCTTTAAAACAGCCTTGATTATTCATGAACTATCTGATGCATGAGCTTTACAAACCTTGCTGACTTATATTAGAGTTTGCAGATACAAAAAGGTGTTTAAAGAACAGCAATAAACAGCTGTAACTAGCAAAATGTATGTTTTAAAGGGGTCCTATTATGCTTTTTCACTTTTTTAATTGTAGTCAGTGTGTAGTGTGTATGTTTGGGCATTAAAAAGATCTAGAAAGTTACAAATCTCAAAGTCCACTCCAAAGGGAGATATTTAGTTTTTTAAAAATCCCTTTTCAAGAACTACAACGAACGGCTCGTTTGGACTACAGCGTTTGTTTTCCGGGCCTTGTGATATCACAAAGCGGCTCATTAGAATTTCATTACAAATAATTCCCGCCTACAGAAATTCGAATGGAAGACTTTGTAAAAGAGCATAATAGGACCCCTTTAAATAATATTTTGTCTTTCCTATGCTTTTCAATATAAACAAAACCAAAACGCAGAGGGACTCTTATTTTGAAATCGCTTTGTTTTACAGTACCATTCTAGCTGCTCATTCAAAAACATGATGGAAATCAAATATCAACCAACATATTACAATAGAAACACCATAATTCATCAAAAGCAAATTTGTTTCAGTATTTATTAATCTTTGTTAATGTTAGTTATTAAAAATACAACTGTTTATTGTTAGTTCATGTTAGCTTAGGCTCATTAAATAATAGTAAAAGATACAGTGATTTTAATGCATTGGTAAACGTTGATATTAACATTTACTAAGATTAATACAGTAAATGCTTTCAAAGTATTTTTCAATGTTAGTTAATGTTAACTAAATTGTGTTAAACTAATTAGTGTTACCGTATATATTAAACGTCAAACGTGTCTCTGAGAAAGACTCACAGCAGTCCGGTGGAAATCCAAAATAACTTATTTTAGCAACTAAAAATGGCAGCTCTGTGTGCTTTTTTAAATCCACACTTATTTCTGCACTAATGGGGAAACGCTTGTTTTTCCAGCTGTAATGAAACGCCTGAGACCTGCTCCCGCTGCGTGTCCCTCAGGGCTGCATTCGCCACCGAGATACAGGTTGAAAAAAAGTTCCTTCTCCCACAAGCTCAAGATCTCTGGAGCGTGTCAAAATGCCAAATACTAATGAAGTCAAATACCAGTGAAATTCCATGAAGTTTCTGTCTCAGTTTCAAGACTGTCTAATGCAAAACTTTAGACTTTGCATCTGATGCGGGACGTGGGATTGTCCATGCACGACGCTTGAACATTTTCTTAACTAAAATGGTTAATTTTATAGATGAAGTTCGGGTCTTTTTATATCGTTTCTGTAAAACTATATTTCTGTACATGTATATATGCACTACTGTTCAAAAGTTTGGCTTGGTTTTTTGAAAGAAGACTTTTATGCTCGGCCAAGGCTGCATTTATCCGATTAAAAATACAGGTACAAAAATTCAGATATTATTACAATTTAAAATAATTGTTTTCTATGTAAATACACAGTAAAATGTAATTTATTGCTGTAATCAAAGCTGAATTTTCAGCATCATTACTCCAGTCTTCAGTGTCACATCAAATCATTCTAATATGCTGATTTGCTGCTCAAGAAACATTTCTGATTATTATCAATGTTGAAAACAGCTGCTGATTCATATTTGTCTGCATTCTACGATGAATAAAAAGTCCAAAAGAACAGCATTTATTTAATCTTTTGTAATATGACTGTCTTTATTGACACCTTTGGTTTATTAAATGCATCCTTGCTGAATAAAAGTAATAATTTCTTTCAAAAAATACTTCATACTGACCCCAAAATGTTCTAACAGTACTGTATGTGCTATATAAGCTCCCATACAGAGCAGAGTTTGCAGTCGGGCGCTTCAGTAATTGTCTCGAGCGCTCTTACCGATCATGGGCGACTCAATAAAGCTCCAGGCGTTGGTTTGAGGCACATATGACTGAAGTACTCCAGCAGAGAGGCCGGCCTCGTTCACCCCTCCAAACACATAGATCTTCCCTCCACACACAGTCGCCGCTGCTGAATGGACAGGTTTGGGCAAAGGAGCCACCATCTCCCACTGGTTAGTGATGGTGTCGTACCTGGGGAGAAAATGAAACGCCATTTATCCTGGAGCATCAGAAAGAGCAGAATTCAAAACGCCTTTTTAGACAGAATAATGCCCTATTCGATTCTGACTGCTCATATGTAGGGTTAAAAGTCTTACAAACACCCTGGCAAACACCCAAACCCACTAACAGCACTCATATTTCAGAATGAGCTTTATTGCCAGGTATGTTTCCGGGATAAATGACTATTAAAGTCGGCCTGAATAAAAAGACATGGCCCATGGATCTTTAAAGGATGCCCATGGCTCGTATCAGTGAGGTTCCACTTCACGCCTGATAAAGCATCAATAAAATGAGAGTATATTGTGAGGGTTTGGATGAGTTTTTTACTGGCCCTGGGAAAAAATTAACTTATGAAAACTCCAGCATTTAAACAGAAGTACAAAGGGACTGTAAAAAATGTGCATGGCTGATCGTCACAAATAGTGTCCCACTCCTATTTCAAGAAGAAAAAACTATTTATACATAGAATACAGAAAATTAAGGACCATTAAGAGTTCTTATCAAATATAAAATAAATATAAATATTTTATTATTATATATAAACACATAATATGTTATTAAATATTTTATGTAATACGATTTAAATAATCAAATTTAAATAAATAAAGAAACTAAATATTATTTTTATACATTTTAATGCATAACATTTAATTCTGCAATATAAAAATATATTCCATAAATATCAAGACATATTAAGTGTATGTATACATTTATTAAATTATTAAATAATAATAATTATTAAAAATATGAAATAATATTTAAATTCTCAGATAGAACACAAGATAAAGACACAAGATAAAAGTTCTTGTTTACATAATATATGTAGGTGTACTGTTTATTTATTATGTATATATAAATACACACACATGCATGTAAAATTTCAGAAAAATATGTTATGTTTGTATATTAAATATATTTATATATAATATAAATTATATGAATATAAATATAGACATGTAAATACATTTAAATATTTTCAAAATGTATGCTGTGTGTGTGCATTTATATATACATAATAAATATACACAGAACACACACATACAATATATTATGCAAATAGTACTATAACGAGTAGAAAAAAAAAATCATGTAACTAAACGGAAATAAATATTTTTCCAAAAAAAAAAAAAAAAAGGTGCAAACAATTATTTTCATACTCAGTATTTTTGTTCTCATTTTTCAGTACAAATATCTATACATTATACATTACAAGATACATTTACTTGAGACGCAAAATGAAATAAGATATTAAATCCTGTTTTGTGAAAACTATATTAAAATTATGTGGGTTTAAACAAGAACAGAAAAATCTGAAAAAGGGATCAGAAAAATAAATGCATTTTTTTTTGGACCCCATTGGCAGATATTTTTTTAGGCATAAACTCGCTTAATTTCGATAGATTTTTCAGAAAACAAGACTTCTGGGACTGTAATCTACTTCTCAAGTTAATGTGTCGTGATTTAAAATCATTATTTACAGTGTGGTGCTTTACTACAGTATGTGATCAGACGATGAAAATGGAGAATACTGGACGTTGAAAATGTTTATAAACGAGTGTAAAGTTATTTTAAACTCTTTAACAGAAGTAGAGTCTTCACTTTCGTGCATGAAAGCCTCCGGCGCACCTGCCTGCTCAGTCGACTCTCTATAGACATTAAGGTGAAAATTCCTTTAATTTATGCATGTTACTGTGCGGGTTTTGCTCGTGAGATTTTTCCAGCATTTCCCTTCAGTGAGGCGAACGAGATAAACTTCTCCAGCAATTTTCCACACTCGGTCTCTGTTAAACGTGCAGCAGATAAGCGAGACTCCACCGCCGTCTCTGCTCCTCCATTAAGACTCATAATGGTCTCAGTCAGCGAGCGCGAGCGCGAGCGCGGCTAA